AAAAAATATTTTTTTTTAAGAAAATGTTCCCCTTTTTTTGTAAACATAAGAAAAAAAAATAAAAATTATTTTTTTTAAATTTCATTTTAAATTTTTTTCGGAACTGTCCTAGTTTTCCTTTTTTAATATTTGTTTTTTTAACCTTAAAACTTAAGCTTATAAGATATATGGTACGAGCAATAATTTAACCAAAAAAAATCTTTTTTTTTTGTGGCTATTGATCTTAATTTTTTTTAACTATGAGATAAATAGAGAGAGATAATTTTTCAAAAAACTAAAATTTATTTTTTCAAAAAAATTTCTTTTTTTATTTAATTTTTCAAAAAATTTAAATAAAAAATTCTATTTTATTTATAAATGTATTTAAAAAATATTATAAAAAAATCATTGTTGTTGGGATAGAGAGTTGTCTGTTCTATTGTTTTTCTTGTTGTTGTTATAGTAGATTGTTTTGTTTTATATATAACAAATGGTATTTTTTTAACTTGGTTTTTATCCTTTCTAACACAACAAAATCTAAATATTTCAAAAGACGGAGCCGGCATGCAAATATCGACCAACTGCAAAATATATTGTGTATTCACAATAACAACGAAAGAAAAATGTAAAAATGGAGGAGGGTGGGAGGAAAAAAGAAAAACAAACAAAGAATAAAATAAAAAATAATCAACATCAATAAATAAAATAATTAAAAAGTAAAAATATTCTTTAACTTGTAAAATGGGATTAAAATAATTTTTTTGGTTATTTTTGTAAAATAAAAAAAAATCTACTTGAAAACTTTCTCTATATAAAATGATAGAGAGAAGGTGTAGAAACCGTCACTGATTAATTTGCATGATCATGAATCAAAAAAAGCCTTTGTTATTTTATTCTTTTTTTGATGTTAATAAAAAGAATAAGAAGCCAGGTTGTTATCAGTGCTGCGCAGTGATGATGATGGTGAGTGAGAGGTGTTGTTAAATCTCTCTAAAAAAGAATATTCAAGAAATTTTATATAAAGCAGTTTAAAAAATATATATGAAAATTACAAATAAATACATAATAAAAAATATGACACAAATTCTATTATAACACAATCCTATTCCAATAAAAAACCATGGCACTAGTCACAGGTAAACATAAAAATTCAAATAAAATTAAATAATAAAAATATGAATATAAAAAAAACAAATAATTTAAATAAAAAGATAATACAATAAAAAACAACAAACAAAAAACAAATAAATGTAAATAATTATTTTAAATTAAAATAAATAAATAATATTAAAATGACTATCATTATTAATAAAATAATAATATTCATTTTAAATAAAATAATGAAATAATATCATTCCCTTATGTTGTTTTTTTAATATAATATAAAATTAAAATAAAAAAAAATCAAAGAACAAATTTAAATTTGAAATTTTGTTGGTAACAATGTTACCAATTTAAGTATCAATTTTCCGCTGAAAAATATTAAAATTATCAACTTTAAATTCAACATTTTGTAAAATTTTAATACCCAATTATAATTATTAAACTCACAATCAAAAAAAAAAATATATATATATATATATATATATATATATATGGGTATTAAATTAAATACAATGCCTAAAAATATTCATGATTTTAATTTCCAAATATTTCTCATTAAAATTGAAAAACTGAAAAAAGTGCCTACAATGCCTAATAGTATGCAATATTTGTCAAATGTTTTTTTGTAGAATATTTTGAAACTTTTTTTTCTGAATTTGAAAATATGAAAAATATATATTTTTAAATGTACTTGCCTATTAAAGAACATTTTGGAAATCAAATTTAAAATATATTTTATCATGGCCCCACGTTGGGCGCCAATGTAGCAGCTCGTGAACGGAGCTGGTATGGCTTCATCCGAAACAACAAGATTTACTTGTTATTCCTTGTTTGGGAATTGTTTTCAGCTTATGATCTGAGACCATCAACATGGACAAGCGTCCATATATATGAGTGATGATTTTCCTGCCAATGAGACAAGTGGGTTAGACATCTAAGTCTGCTAATTTAACGGTTTTCTCAAGAGTTGCACCAAATTGGCCTAAAAATATTAATATAAACATTTGCTGTGTTGTTCTACTGTTTATAAAAATTATTGCATACTTTTAGACAAGTCTTATGTTATTACCCCTAAAAGTATACACTGAAAGTGTAAATTTTTAAATACCAAAAATAAGTAAAAAAAAAAATATTTATTTTTTTTCTGACATCAAAAAAATTAATCTGAATAAAGAATAAATTTTAAAGATAAGATCCATTATAAAAGATACATTTATCAGAAGACCCCCAGAGGTATGCAATGGAAATTAAAATAATATTTTATTTGAAGCTTATTACAATTTTAATTTGATCTTTGATTTTTTTCTGTTTAAATATTGAAAAAAAATATAAAAAAATAAAAAATCCTATACCAGCTCAATTCAATATTGAAAATTTGGAATCAAAAAAGTTAAAAAATTGCCTGCCGGTGATTGCGGCAGCCTATAAAAGGTGTAGTGTACATTTATTCTGCCTTTGGTTTGCTATGTTGCGGAGAAATGACTATGGCTGAGTGGTTATCTATTGGGAGAGAGAGTCTCTACAATAAGCTTTGGTTTGCCATGTTGCGAAATCACTAAGTCGTGTTGGATAATTATACCGTACACAACTATGTTGTCCGTATTATAGCTTTGTGCAGCCCCAAATGTTTGTAACGCCGCGAAATATTGGTCCTAGACCCACCTTTAAGTATACCGATCGTCATATTTCGACTAGCTGAGTCGATCTAGACATGTGTATCCGTCCGTCTGTCCATTATGATTTGTAAACACGATACAGGCCACAGTTATGGACCAATCTTCACGAAATTTTGCATGTAGGATGGGTTCTGGCCAATGAAGACCCCTATTGATTTTGGAAAAGATCGGTTAATATTTAGGGGATGAAATGGACCTAAAACTTTTATTTTGTCTGATTTTCTGCATGGAGAAGGGGATCGGGCCAAAGAATAAGCATGCCTGTTTTGATAAAGATCGGTCAAAATTTTTGCGAATCAAATGAACCCCAACTTTTGTGTGAAAAATTACAAAATTTGTATTCTATGGTGTATATATTCACTCCGGAAGGACATAGACCCGATAAATTGATAGTATATCCAAGAGGAGTGGTTGACCTTTAAATTGATATCAATGTTATTGTCGTGTGTACTCGGATGTGGGAGTTACACTTAAATATTCATAGGCGCTTACGTATTCATATATTATTTAGCAACCCATTACCACACTAGAGGGCGGAAATATAGCGCTGATCGCTTTGAAATTTTCCATAAGGATCCATCCATGGTCAAGGAGAATGCCTATAATTTTCGTTGATGATAAGTTAATAATATTGGGAAGAAGTGGACCGAAAACTTAATCTTTTGTTTTTTTTTCGAGTCGATCTACATGCCCAATTGAAAGCCGAACATCACAACACAACCCACTCTGAAGGGAATCGGGACAAGAAATTAGAAGGGCTGTACTGAATATTAGGAATATTTGTTGACCTCTAGTCGGTCAAGAGGGTAAACATATTGCGATATATTCCCCAAGCTCAGAATATAGAACCACACAAAGTTAGATTTTCGTGGATGTTGTGTAGGATATCGTATGGTCGGCCCCGTCCGACTACATATATATATATATATATGTATATATATATTCTCCAAAATGTTTAAATGGGTATAAAATTGAGCTCGTATATATAAGAATATTATTATAAAAACATTAATAAATTTAAAAAAATATATATATGAAAATAACACAATATCAAATATCTACAAATATATATAACAAAATTTTGATACCCTATAATTTGTGTATAAAAATAATTATTGCTGTTAAGCCTGCTTTTCACATATAAAAAAATAAATAAAATTAACGAATATTATTTTTTCAAGCCTTTGCTAAACTTATTAAGTTTATAATAATTAAAAAAACATGGTCGATTTGAAGCGGTGACGAAAGGAGGACGAAAAAATAGTGATTGTTATTTTTTTTTTTTTTTGCAAAACTACTCAGGGAGCTTTGCTAAATGATTGCAAAATGTATTCAGAAAAAATAAAAATATATATATATATATTTTTTAATAATTTATTAATTATATGAACTAATTTATTTACTTGTTTAAGTTTGTTTTAAAAGTTTTAAATTTAATTTTTTTTAATAATTGATTAAATAATATTTTTTTTTAAAAGCTGATCTTTAAAAATATATATATTTGTAATAATAGATTGTTTTATAATTTATTTTAAATTTTTTTTTTTATTTTTGAAAAATATTTTTTTCTAAAATTCATTATTCAATAATTAAAGAATTTAAACGAAATATTTAAATTCTTTTAATTTTTTTTAATTTAATTTATTTATTTTTTAAATATTTATTTTATTTTTAATATAATTAATTAATTTTTCTTAATATTTTTCTTTCTACAATAAGAATTTTGAATCATTTAGCAATCTGAGTAATATTGAAGGATGGAGTAGGTGTGTGTGTGTGTGTTTATGTATGATATTATATTATGTGATTAACAAAGACAAATTATTTATATTAAAAAAAATAGTATTATGAATTATTGCTCGTTTATAAAAATATATATTAAAAAATATATTTTTTAAATTTCTAAATATTAAATAAAAAAATTAATATTATTTTTCCAGTGATGTTTCTGATTTTGTCATATAGATTATTTATGATATAGAGGGGTTATATATAAATAAATGTCGTTATATATGATTTTTTATAGCCGTTTCAAATGATGAATATTATTGTCAATAATAATTATTGTAAATAATTAATTATTTCGTTCTTATTATAGAGAAAAAAGAATGTGATAGAATTAAGGAAAAAAGTAGTAATTAAATTTTTCTCTTTTGTTTTAAAAAAAAAGTGTATAAAAAATATTTAAAAAAAATGAAAGAAAGAAATAAAAAACGTTTGCTTATCTGGCAAACAACCCACCGGTATGATCTGTGTATTCCGTCAGCAGAGGATTTCCGGTGAGGGCGGTATTGTAGATATTGTAATCTCCGTAGGGGGCAAAGATCATGCCATGGGCGGGATTTTCAAATGCGGGAGCTGGTGTTGCGGTACCCGATAATATACTCGCCGCCGATGTTGGCACTGTCATGCGTTGTGACAAGATCAAGGGGGCACCCAGTGGGGCAGCCTGGGGGGCGCGCATTGTTTGTGCCAAGCCAGGCAACGCGGGAGCCAACAGGCGATTATCAGCTGAGGCGGCAGCAACGACACGACGCCATTCTTCATCACAGGCTAAAGAGAAAATAGGGGTTAAAAGTTGTCATAAAAATTGTTAAATGTTCTCCAATATAAAATTCAAGTGATAGTGGTGTTGGTTGTTGTTGTTTTACATAAATTAATTAAGATTGATTAATTAACTCGTTTGTTTTTTTAGTTTTTGTTTAAACCGTCCTTTTGGGTTTTTTGTAGGCATCTCAGGATGGGCTTTGTTTTTTAATTTGTTTATTAACAAATATTATTTTTTTAAATTATTATTTAATTTTTTTAATCAAAAAAATAATTTGCTTTGCTTCTTAGTAAATGGTTATCAGATACATCTACATACCTTGGGCCATGTTTTTCGCTGAGGTTGTATCCCGATAGGTGCCATTGATTATAGCCAATTCCATAAGTTGACGTTTTTTAAGTTCATCTTCGCCTTCCGCTTGCTGTTGTTGTGGCCATGATGGAGTTTTTGTTGTTGTGGTTGTTGTGGTAATGGTTTTTGTTGTTGTTGTTTTTTTGTGATTGTGTATATTTTGGCAATGGCATTGGCGGCGGCAGGGCAGCATTTTTGATTTTGGCATTGACGTTGGTTAGTACAATTTGATTTGGTTTTAATTATGGTTACCATTGTTTTGAATTTTTTTTTTTTGGTCAGAAAATAATATGAAAAATAAAATTAAAAAATTATTAGAAATTAATCAGAGTTATTTTTTTATTAATAAATTATTTAATTTTTATTATTAGAGTAGACGAAAAGGTAACAGTAACACAAGTATATTAACAAAACAGACAGCCAAATATAAGAAGAGCTGCTTTAAAAGGACACAAAGGCCTGAAAAAATCCTACGGCCTCCAAGGGCTACCCTCTCTAAAGGAAAAAATAATAATCCTCAACCAGAAGTTTATTTTTCTGTAAGTTCGCCCCTTTATACAGAGAAAAAATCCATAGTCCTTGGTGTACTATTTTTTCTATACAAAAAATCCTCAGGATCACTTCTGTGGGAATATGCGCCCAGAACCAGTTAAATACCCATAAAAGGACCGGATTTTTATTAGAGGCTATACCCAAAGATCGACCAATATTTTTAATTTTCATAAGGAAGATTGGACAACCAATAAGAAACCAAAGAACCACATTAGAGTTGAAGTTCGGTTGAAAAAACGGGCCAATATCCGGAAAATACTGAAATTTTGGGGGTACCTTTAAAGGGGAGTACCCTCAAATGTGGGCCGATTCAGATAATTTTTGGTGGGGAGAATTTCTAAATATTAAGAAACCAAAATATAAATGTAGAGACAATTTGTTTGAAAAACGTAGAAAATATTCCAAAATATCGAAAATTCGGAGTTATCGTTAAATGGGGTCTACCCTAAGAAATTGTCCAATGTTGATAATTTTTGAAAGGGAGATATACCACCCGATGAGAACCCAAAATACCAAATTACACCCAAAATTCGGTAGAAAAACGCGTTACCGTTAAATGGGGTCTACCCTAAGAAATTGACCAATATTGATCATTTTCGGTAGGGAGATGTGTCACCCAATGAGAATCCGAAATACCAAATTACAGCCAATTCGATTGAAAAACGTGGCCAAAATTCTCAAAATACTGGCATTCGGAGGTACCACTACATGGGGGCTATACCAAAACTCCCAAAATACCGAATTACAGCCAATTCCGTTGAAAACCCCTCCCAATCTCTCCAAAATATCGAAAAATCGAAGTAAGCCTTAAATGGGTCTACCCTAAAAAATGGAACAATTTTGATAATTTTTGGTAGGAATATTTGACATTCAATGAGAATTCAAAATATCGAATTACAGCCAATTCGGCTGGAAACCCCAACTAATCTCTTCAAAATATCGAAATTTCGAAGTTACTGTTAAAGGGGGCTACCCTAAAAAATGGATCAATTTTCATAATTTTTGGTAGAAATATTTGACACCCAATGAGAACCCGATATATTAAATTATAACCAATTCGGTTGATAAACGCGGCTTCAATCCCCCAAAATACCGAAACTTCGAAGGTACTGTTAAAGTGGACTACCCTACGAAATGGACCAATATTGACAATTTTTGGTAGGAAGATTTGATACCCAATGAGAACCCGAAATACCTAATTAGAACCAATTCTGTTGAAAACCGAGAACATTTGGCCTGAGGAATTTTATAGAAAAATAAATGTCTGAGAACATTTTTTTCAGAGGCCTGGAAGTTCTCAGGGGGTCTGCGATTTTTGCTATATAAATAGAATTTCTATGGGACCCGGAGAAATTTTTTCCATCGAAAAAGAAGTCCTCGGGAGGCATGAGGAATATTTTCTAAAGGGAAATAAGTTCTCAGGTGGCCCGATGAATTTTTTTCTATGGAAAAAGTAGTCCTCATGTGTCTTGGGTAAGGCCTAATGGATTTTTTTTTCTACAGAAACAGAAAGTTCTCAGGTGGCCCAACGAATTTTTTCTATAGAAAAGGAAGTCTTTAGCAGGCCTGAGGAATATATGTTTTTCTATAGAAAAACAATGCCTCAGGTGCTTAGGTCAATTTTGAATATAAAAATTGAGGTCCTCTGGGGCCTGAGGTGATTCTTTTTTATTAAAAAATAAGTCCTCGGGTTTCTGATATTTTCTATATAAAAAATAACACTTCCAAATAAAAAAAGAAGGGATACAGAAATTTTTTCTAAAAGAAAATAAGTTCTCCGGTGGCCCAATGATTTAATTTTTCTATAGAAAAATGATGCCTCAGTTGCTTAGGGGAATTTTTTTTATATAGAAAATGAGGTCCTCTGAGAAGATTTTTTTCTTTTGAAAAAGAAGTCCTCAGAGTTCTGATATTTTCTACAAAAAAACTCTTCAAAGGTCTGAGGAAATTTTTTCTATAAAAAAGTCCTCATTGGTCATGAAGTTTTTTTATGGAGAAGTCTGGGGATTTTTTTCAGGGGATCTGAGGAATATTTCTATAGAAAATTTCTCATTGCCAATGAAGCCTTATGAATGTATTTTAAAGAAAAAAAAAAACAACTTCAGACCCTTTGAAGATTTTCTGTCTTTAGACCCCCCTTGACGATATATTTTCCTATAGAAAGTCCTCTGGTGGTCCTCTGGGTGGATTTCTGTTTTATGTCACCCTCCTTCAATGTGTCCAATTTTTTTTCAAAGCATTTATTTTAGGCACAAACGAAGTTATGTTAAAAAAATATGCACATTAGTTAATAAAATATTAACAAAAAATTGGTATTTTGTGTTTTCTGTTCGGAATTTTTTTAATCCATGAGGAGAATAAAATGTTTATGACATGATGTTTCAAACACTTACCGGTACAAGTAATTTTTGTACTTCGGCCACGGCTTGGGCCAATTTGATTTTGGCGCGATTTTCTGTATCTTCGACGGTGATAAGGACATGCAATTCATCGGATAAATGTTCCCAATTGGGTTTGCCTCTGTTAGCATCTTCCTGTAAAGGGAGTGAGGGGGGAGGAAAGAGAAAAAGAAATATTAGAAAAAATAATAAAAAAAAAATTGATTTTAAAAATTTTTTATATTTTGTAAATAAAAAAATAAAAATAGACAAAAAAGTATTCTTAAAAATATACAATATTTTTGTGATTAAAAATGGGGCATATATCATTGATATAAATTTAAATAAAAACTGTTGCATACTTTTAGGCGAAATATATGTTTATTAATAAATGTAATTACAACATCATTATGTTAATTTATTTTTATTAAAATAAATGATAAAAATCTTATCGACATATTGATATTTTAATGAAATTTATAAATAAAAATATATTTCGCCTAAAAGTAGGCAACAATTTTCTTTTCTTAATTTCATCAAGAGTGTATACACCACATAAAAACTTACATGGAATGAAGCACATCCAAAAGGTATGCTTGTGAAAAATATATAATATATGAAAAATAAAATAATTTCGGAAGATTTTATTTTTTTATAAATGAATCGCAAAAATATATAATAAAAAAATAGACAAAAAATTCTTAAAAATGGTTCTCCTTAAGAAAAAGAAATCAGAAATTTATTTCAAAAAAATATTTACTTGACAATTGTGGTTATTGTCAGAATAATTTTTTGATCATTTCAAACCCAAAAATTCATTTGTAAAGGTGTAGACGTTTAGGTCCATACACCTTTTGCAAACCCCAACATAATATTAAAAAAAAAAACTGAATACCTGCCTGCCGCCTAACGAATTTTTTTCTTCTATTAGGTGAAAAGAAAGAAATTTACTTTTATTACAAACAGACTTGGCTCGTCAACAACAACGCAACAAGCAAACAAATTCATAAAAATATTTTGTTGTTGGGTCCACCAACGCCTTGCTGCTGTTGCTGCCACCATAAAAACTGAATATTGTTTTTCGGTTGCGAATTATTTTCTCGTGGGGCAGCAAACCGAAAAAAATTTGGGTAAATTGCATTTTTTATGGCTTCTGATAGATGTCGACGACGACGGAGGCGATTGTGGATTTTGTTGAGCACAATTTTTTTATTTGATTTTTCTGGGTTGATAGACAGGCAGCCAGAGAATTTTTGACACTATTTTCAGTTTTTTTTATTAACAGAAGTGGAGGAGGAGGCGGAGTAATGAAGACGCAGTGGGAAGAGAAATGCAAAAAAAGATGTTGGCGAATTGTCATCAAAAAGTGAATTGGGAACGTTTATATTTAAAAAAAATTAAATAAAGATAATAAAAGATGTAGGAGTTCGAAATTAGATGTCGAGAGGATGGGTTGGTTCTTTTTAATAGATGTTAGAAGAGGTCTTTGTCTTCTATAGACACTAGAAACTCTCGGGATCTATTATATACGCTAGGAGTAGAGTCTTGGTATTCTAAAGAGTTCATGGGCCTTTAAAGAAAGACTTATTTTTACACACGGAGATCCGCCTTTAGTCTTCAATAAGAATCTGTTATAGACGCTAGGAGTAGTCTTGGTATTCTAAAAAGAGTTCATGGGCCTTTAAAAACCGTGAAGACTTATTTCTACACCGGAGATCCGCCTTTAGACTTCAATAGGATGTTCAAGACCTCTCGCTTTTCTATAGAAGTATGTATGCCTTGAGTAGTCTTGGTCTTCTAAAAAGAGTTCATGGGCTTTTAAAAACCATGAAGACTTATTTCAAGACCGGAGATCCGCCTCAATATGAAGTCAAGGAATTTAAAGACCACAGGGGTTTCTCACCTCTCGCTTTTCTATAGAAGTATTTAGGACTTGTATATAAACTAAAGGATCTCTGGTTCGTTTCAATAGCAGCTGGAAGAGGGTCTCGGTCTTCCATAAACACAAGAAAACCTTTGAATATTTTATAAACGACAGAAGTAGCCTTGGGCCTTTAAAACTCGTGAAGACTCGTGAAGACTTTTCTCAATTTTTAGACGAAAGAAGTAGTTTTGGTCTTCCAAAAAAGTTCAGAGGGCCTTTAAAACTCGTGAAGAACATAGGATCCGCTGTTTCGGCTTCCATAGGAAGTTTAAGATTACAGGATTTTCTCAACTCTGGGGTTTCTAAAGACCTCCATAGACCTTGTATAATAACTAGATAACATCTTGGTTTTCAATAGATGTTAGAAGAGGGTCTCGGTCTTCTACAGACACTAGATCTGGTCTGAGGTAGTCTGACTTTTCAATAAACAGTTGAATGGTCTTTACATACCGTTGGACCTTTATTATTTACTCAATAGATCCGCCGTTTTGGCTTGCATCGCCAGTTTTTTTTTTTTTTTTTTGTATAGTTGTCTATTGGAACAAATTATCTACTATTATATATTTATATCGGTCAACTTTTTAGTGTATTTTGGAGATTTTGATTAAGTTTTTTTAATCGAATTGACTTTAGGTTTGTATTTTGAGTTCTCATTGAGCATCAAATCTTCCTATCAAAAATGATCGAAATGGGTCAACTTTTTAGGATAGACCCCTGTTAACAGAACCTCCGAAGTTGTTGTATTATGGGGATTGTGTCCGCATTTTTCAATCGAATTGGTTGTAATTTGATATTTTTGGTTCTCATTTGGGTGGCAAATCTTCTTACCAAAAAGTATCACTATCGGTCCACTTTTAAGGGTAGCCACCTTTAACAGAACCTCCGAAGTTTCGAAATTTTTGGGGATTGTAGACACGATTTGTAACCGATATGTCTGTAATTTGCTATAATTCGGGTTCTCATTGGGTAGCGAATCTCCCTACCTAAAGCTATCAACATTGGTCCACTTTTGGATATTGCCCCCCATATAACGTGGCTGTAATTTGGGTTTTCCAAGCTATCATTGGGTGTCAAATATTCCTACCAAAAATTATCAGTATGGGTCCATTTCTTAGGGTAGTTCCCCTTTAATGGAAACTTCGAATTTACGATATTTTGAAGAGATCGGTCTTGTTTTTCAACCGAATTGACTGTAATTTGATATTTCAAGCTCTCATCGGTTGTCAAATATTCCTACCAAAAATTATCAATATTGCTCCATTTCTTTGGGTAGCCCCCCTTAAGTGTAGCTATGAATTTTCGATATTTTGGAGAGATTGGTCGGGGTTTCCAACCAAATTGGTTGTTATTTGGTATTTCAGCTTCTCATTGAGTGTCGAATATTCCTACCAAAAATTATCAAAAATTTTCCATTTTTTTAGGGTAGCCCCCTTTAACGGTAACTTCGATTTTTTGATATTTTGGAGAGATCGGTTGGGGTTTCCAACAGAATTGGCTGTAATCTGGTATATGGACTTCTCATTGAATGACAAATATTCCTATCAAAAATTATCAAAAAATTTCCCTCCTAATTTCCCCACCGCCCTCATACATTTTATATAGGCAGAAGACGACGACGGACAGCAACAACATTGTAAACATCAATCTTGACAACAACAACAAAGCCAACAATGTTTTTTAACATGCATAAATACATGAGCGCTATTTGTGCCTGAGCATATGTTTCAATATTTTTTTCTTCTTCAGTTTTGTCTTCGATATAACGGTAAGGTAAGGCAATTGAATGGACAGACAAACAGAGTGACGATCAAATAGACGGATAGTTGGTAATAAAAAGAAAATCAAATGTTGAACATGTATATTAGTGTATGTGTGTGTGTGTGCGTGTTGGTGTGTTAGCACTGCTGGGGTAACATCCGTTTCATAAAAATAGCGAGTATTTCCTTTTTGGTAGTATGTCACGTTCAACAGACATACATACATACATACATAATTTTTTGTTGTTATTTTCATTTTGAAAACTGTGGTTTTTCATTGGTGTTGTCTTCTTCTTCTTCGTTGTTGACTACGTTTTTTTGCTTTCAAACCAAATGAAAAAAAATCATGGCTCACACCTTAGTGTCGTAGCAATGAGCCAAGTTAGGTACAACCTAGCAGCTAAGCAATGGATTTTCATTGCTTCGTCGTCGAGAGTAGAGGCTAATCGAGCAAAGGTATGGTGGGCAGGAAGGGTGGGTGGTAGATACGGAGGGAATTGTATGTTGTCGTTTTACCTCTTTGGGGAAATCGGTAGTTATAACCGTAAGTTCCAATTGTTGTTTTTTTTTCTTTGTTTCTACTTCTTTTGCAAAAAATTACAACATGGAAAGCAACAACACCATCTGTACATTAAGGTGTGAGGGGGAGGTGGAAGTGGAGACCCTGTGCTAACCTGTGTTTGTGTGTCTATGTGTTTTATTATGCATTTTTCAGTTCAATTTTATGTTTCCTTTTTTTTGCTGTTGTCTTCATTGTTTTTGGCTTCTATATTTTTGTTGTTATTGTTGCTGTTGTCATCACTTGTATTTGTCGTCGTCACAAAACAAAAACATTAATGTTGTTGCTGTTGTTGACAAGAAGCAACAGCGCATTGATGAGCGAACGAACAAAAAAACTTGAAAAGAAATCAAGTAAAAGTTATTGGCAACTGCACAAGAAAAATGTGTCAATACGCATTTTTTAAGGTACCTTGCCGCACACCGAAGAGGAGGAGGCCCTCCAACACTCAACAACCACAAGCGGACACATTTTATACCAGAGCTATGCATTACTTTTAATAGAGATGGACAAATTATTTTATTAAAAAAAAATTTAAATAAATGTTAAATGGAACATCGGAACATCGACTGGACCTCAGAAGAAATGAAATGTTTTCCAAAAAAATAAAAAATAAAAGAGCCGATTTTTTTTTGTTTCATTGAAGACTGGTTCAATTTTCGCTAAATAGAAAATTTAAAATCTGACAGAGGAAATTTATTAAAACCTTGAAAACTTATTTCTATACCGGAGATCCGTTTCTAGGCTCTCTGGGTTTTCTATAGAAGTCGTTTTAAAACCTTGAAAACTTATTTCTAGACCCGAGATCCGCCACTAGGCTCTCTGGGTTTTCTATAGACGTCGTTTTAAAACCTTGAAAACTTATTTCTACACCGGAGATCCGCCACTAGGCTCTTTGGGTTTTCTATAGAAGTCC